TAACTTAAAGCTAACTTTAGCAAACAGGTTAAAGTTAAGAAATATATAATCAGGGAATTTATTATTTCGCCCACTTTTAGTAGTACCACGAAATTACATGTAAATCGCGGGTGTTAAATAAATTTTATTTATTTAATTCGTCACCAAATTCACGAAGTGGCGTATATGAAGATTTAAGTTATGCAAAAAAGCAATTTTTTGAAATAAAAGTTTAGCATACTAAACACTTATTCCAGAAATTTGCTTTTTTGCATAACACAAATTTTCCGAAACGGGTGTTTGAAGTTTTGTGTTAAGCAAAAAAACCAATTTTCTGGAATAAACGTTTAAAATGCTAAACTTTTATTTCAGAAAATTGCTTTTTTGTATAACTTAAATCTTCATATACGCCACTTCGTGAATTTGGGGACGAATTAAATAAATTCCTTAACAAAATAAAATATCCGTTAACCCCGGGGCATTCGCCATTTTTGCAACTTTTAATGGCATTTCAAAAATATTGCTTCACTTAATAGTCAATATATATTTTATCTTTTCCATAAAAATAATGAAATAATGTAAAAAGTGTAATAATAGTCACTTTAATCATGCCATTAAACTTTTTCATATAAAAGAACAACTTTATTTCGTAATAAACATAATAAACCAGGAAAAACTTTTTATTATCTATCTTTATGGCAATATGCTAAAGCACGGAAAAACAAAATATGCATATTTTATAAATATAAAATTCCCTGACCCAAATTACTATCTAAATTGCCCCATAACAATATTTTATAAGCATTTATTTAAGGTTTTTTGTAAACTATCATTTATTTTTTATGTAAATTTACCAAATCAGGAAAACTTTGGGGTTCCTTTTGTTTTATAAAGTATGCAAATATATTATCATAATAATGTAGAATACGATTCCTTTTAAGTTTTATTATTTGCCTTATCAGTTTTTTTATATCAACGTAAGCAAATAATATGATTAATAAATTGTTAATCCAAAAACATCAAATTAATTTTACTTAATAAAACAACAATCCGATCGAGCAGATTTTTGTGATAAAAAAGTTTTGGATAGGTAGTTAAAAAAATATATTTGTTAGAAAAACGATAGATACATTAAAAGACATGCACAAAACGGTATAATAGTTATTTATGTCATAAAGCTGAGAAGTGAAGCCTACAACTGATAGAAGCACAAAAAGACACTTCTCAGCCGCATGGCATACAACATGTTATCTTCAATGCATAATTTTATTTGTTAAACGATACATAAAACGTACTTACAATTAAAATAACAATTAATAAAAGTATAAAGTGAGGTAAGATAGCTTCAGAGATGTTAGCGTTATCGATTTTTTTTAATTGTTCCCAACGGTTTTTTATAGACTAGGATGTAAAAAACTTCACTTGATAGAGTATATTATTTGTACAGCCTAGGAGATAATCGAATAATAATTATTATCAACGCTTACTACCAAAGTATTATTATAATAAAGCTTAAAGATAAAATCTATTTAAACTTAAAGTGTTTTAAATAAAGCAAAAAATATTTAAATTTTGGTTTATTTTAACACATATTTTAAGGCTTATCCGTTGGTTATCCGGTTCAAGGTACCTGAATGTGAAAGTAAATGTGTTCTCCAAAATAATTTATGATGGTCCTGTAGTAATGTGCGGTTTTTAGGGGAGGTAATAAAGGACGTAAGTAATAGCACCGTTGCAGAAGACGGGAACAAGTCTATGAATTTTTCACATATATCTTACTCTAATGCATATATGCATAATAAATTTACACACCTATGAGCAAAGAAATCAGGAAATATTCATAAATACCTATCTATAAAAAACTATTTTTTTCGAGCGTATATTAATTTTTATAGTGAAACACTCATAAGCCTATATAGTAGGACTTCAAATTAATACTAGTTTAAAAGTAAAGATATCTATGAGCAAAGAAATCAGGAAATATTCATAAATATCTATAAAAAAACTATTTTTTTCTAGCGTATATTAATTTTTATAGTAAAACACTCATAAGCCTATATAGTAAGACATTAATACTAGTTTAAAAGTAAAGTTTTTATAAAACTCCGTACAAAAATAAAGCTAAAATGTCATCATGTCAGTTAAACCTAATCTAAAAATATTGTGACATAATCTTAAAGAAATATTGTACAGTAATATCATAATATCACAAGAGAGTGAGAATAAATTGAAAATAATTTGACAGATACCATTTTAAAAACTTGTATGGCAATAGCCACAAAAGCCTATAGGGCGTTTGACAACAAGGTAAAGAAATATCTGGAAAATTATTTTCTAATTTATTGAACACTATTTTATTATTTATTATTTTTTGCCATTTATTATAGAATTTACTGATTAGGGTGTTTTAAATGTATTTTTCCTTATTTGCACATTTATTTGTTTGTTTATTTCTTCTTCCGATGAAAACTAAACCTTTTTCTTATTTTATTTATCACTATAGTATACAGTGACAGATTTTATTTTAATGACAGATGGGAATAATGTATATTATTATATATTATATTATATTATTTTCACTATAATAATGTTTTGATTGGCTAAAAATACACACTTGAATTGAGTTTGTATTGGTTGTTCAAATAGAACCACTAGTAATACCACAAGAGGTTAAATTATTTCTGAAATTTCGAGCCTATGAATGTTTTGAAAATTATCCCGGTTCGAAGACGAGGAATAATTTTCTAAAAATATTCATAAGCGAGAAAAAATTTCAGGATTTAATTTAACCTCGCGCGGTATTTGGTAAGAAAATTCCACACCGACTATTATATATATTTTATTAGACATAGATATTTAATTGATTCGATTTCTAGTAGATAATTTGCCTTTAAAAAGAAAAGAGGTGCCAGAAGAAAACAGAAAACATCTTAACTATGTAGGTAATTGAAATGTATAAAAATTAAATAAAGAAATTAAAACTAATATTGTAAAAAAGTTATTCTGTGATTATGTCAAAAAATTTACGATTTAATTCGATGTTAGTTACCTTCCTAAGTGAAAAAAAAATCCAGAAAAATACTTGTTGCAATGGAGACCTGTGTGCGAATAATTCGAACTTACGAATTATTCGTTCCGAATCGAATATTAATAATCGATTCGGAACTCGAATCGAATAATTCGAAAATTCAAAAGTTCTCGAATAATTCGATAATTCTCGAATAATTCGAAAATTTTCGAATAATTCGAATTTTTTTCGAATAATTCGAAATTTTTTCAAATTATTCGTAAACTATTATATTATTAGGGATTTTTCGTGTATTTTGAATTTAGGGTTTCTTATGTTCAATATTCAAATATGAATTTAACAGTCAATATACATTTTATTCAAACCATGAAATATATATATTTCATGGTATATATACTATAGTTACACAAATAGAACAATAAGTATAGTTTTTTTTAAAGAGAATGAAATAAGAGAAATTATATCATAGCAAATACAGTATTATGATACAACATTTGAAAATTTGTTACAAATTCATGTGCAAAAATAATAAATACGATACTGAAAAATTACATGAGTAACCTTTTCTTATAGATTTTTTTTTCTCTGGGTAATTGATTTTTTAACGAAAAGTATATTATTCGTAAGTAGAATATTTCGATACACGATTTAAAGGAATTTAAATGGAAGCAATTGAAAATCCAGAGATATTTCTTTATTTTGCGAATTATTTGAGTTATTCGAAATTTTTGAAATTTTTCGAATTATTCGAAATTTTTCGACTTATTCGGTTTTTTCGAATTTCGAATAATTCGAAAATTCAAATTATTCGATACGAATTTCGAATCGAATATCAATATTCGATTCGATTTGATTCGAACGATATTCGCACACCCCTAATATTAAGACAATTTTTAACGGTTTATTAAACAGTTTTACGTTACCATATGACTTCTTATTTTTTTTTTAATTTTATATACAAAAAAAAAAGTTTATATACAAAAGTGCTCTTTTAGTTCCACCCTTACTTCTTAAGAAGTCCCATAAGCCAACTGAATGGCTTGTGCGGGTTAGGGGTAGGAACGGACCGCGGGCTTAAAGTCCCCTCCGAAGGACTATTACACAATAGGACAAACCGAGGGGTAAACCACTGATTTTTTAAAATTAAAAATCGCTTACGAATTAACGGCTAAGGATAACAATAACAAGGGTAGTCATGTACAACGCGTCGCTAAGCACTGATTAAGCACCGATTAAGCAAGTTTTCCTTATTGATAACGACTGATAAAGAAAAAAATCTCAACACAACGTTCACTAACATTGAACGGTTGTCTCTAAGATTTTAAAGTGGTTTACCCCTCGAGGACAAACACAAATGATATGAATAGAGGCTTTACTAATTCAAAACTTTTTAATTTTTTGGGAAAGTTGTTTAAAAAAATACTTGTTACCAAAGTGATTGTTTATACCCTATAGGCACTTTAAAATTATTTAGACCAATTGTATAAATGAGGGTCTATAATGCAATATTAATTATTGAAACAAATTTCTAAGGATTTATTAAATAACTTTAAGCAATTTAAAATTCCAAACATACAGCATTACCATATCTCTAAAAAACTTAGTCCATGCCTAACTAATAGTTAACTTAAAAGTTTTCATAGGGCCATTAAAATAGTAAAACTGCTTCCAAAATTTCATTTGAAATTTAATGTCAAAAAATTTACTTCTACAAAATTTAAAATATTCTTAATATTAACTGCATTGTAAAAAATTCAAACAAAAATCTGGACAATATTTCTCTCGAAAAACAATAAAAAACTTGTCAACTAAAATTTTCCTAATATTTAAATAGTACTGAAAAAATACTTCTTACGACACCATGAGAAAAGTTTAAACCCCTTTAACTGGCCAACCAATCAATCTTAAGCCTATTTTAATGTAGGTACATTTGCATTTCAAATATTTGTATGGTTCTAAACTTTCGTAAAGGAAAATGACATTTGTTTCTTACCCTCCATCAATTTCTGTATCTGGCTCAGAATGGTACCCTGTGTCACTCGTGCAAGGACTATCAGGCAAATGCATTAATTCCAAAAGCGTACCGCATCCTCGTGAAAACGACATAAGCACAGTGGCTACAGGGATATCGTCTTGTACTGGCTGAAGCCTGAAAAAGAAAATAATAAACTGTATTTTTTGCGGTTTATTTTTCGTTCAAGTGAAAGAAGATTACAAACCATATAAAGGCTTAAATGACATTAGCAGGGCTTATTCCTGCGTTGGCCGCCGCCATGAAAATTTATTGGATAATTAAATGACCACGGGTAGCTCGACCGAATTTTCCTTTCCACGGGCAGTTTGGTAACGGATTAGTTTGTAATTATTTCCTCAAATTAATGTCCAAATAATTATTATAAATTATTATTTACGGAGGTTTAAAAATTTTATTATAATAGACAGCAAAAATGGTTAGTTTGTTATCCTAAAAGGATAGCTTTGATTACTTTTGAAACTGACATAATATGTTATATTATATTATAACTGACTTATGTTAACATAATAAAAATATTAAATTTGCTGTTATTTTCCAATTCTTTATTTTGGAAACATTCATGCATAATTTAAAATTATTAAAAACTAAATTGATTTATTGTAAAATCGACTTTAAATTAAAAAAATAATAAATCGTACAAGTTGGAACAATATTTTTGATTCTGCAATAAATCCAATTTGCACTTTTAAATTTAATGCTACTAGCATGCTTAAGAGTATTAATTCCACGCAAGCAAAACTAAAAAATAAATTAATTTAAAATTAATTTCTATGTTAAAATAAAAATACCTGTGTATGCAAAATATGTTTAAATTAATAATTATATTGTGTAGGAAAATATGTTTAAATTAATAAATATATGTATTAATATTTGGTAAATCACTTTCGACAGAAATTACGTTCATAGCAAATTTCAAGAAATACGCCTCAGATTTTGTATATTTTATATAAAACATTAGATACACAGGGACGGGTGACGTTCATAATATCGAAATTCACTTTATCGAATTCAAAATATCGAACACTTTTTATCGAAAATCAAAATATCGAAAATACAAAATGTCGAAAATCAAAATATCGAAAATTAAAATGTCGAAAATGATAATATCGAAATTTTATTTAATCGAATTTTCAATTTATCGAAAATAAAATATCGACGTTCATAATATCGAAATTCACTTTATCGAATTCAAAATATCGAACACTTTTTATCGAAAATCAAAATATCGAAAATACAAAATGTCGAAAATTAAAATGTCGAAAATACAAAATGTCGAAATATTTTCTTATTTTGAATTTGATATTTTGTTTAAATATTTCAATTAATCGACATATTATTTTAATCCGAAGTGTATATGTACAGAGGCGCCTCTGATATAGAAATGTACTCAAACTCAACAACACAACCCAACCGACCCCGCCCCATTGCCCCCCCCCGCCTCATTGAGCAAAAAACCCAACTAAAATGGGCTAATTTATGTAATTAAAAAGTGTTTTATTTTTATCGTAACATGAATTTGCCCATTTTAGTTGGGTTTTTTGCTCAATGGGGCGGGGGGGGGGGCCAATGGGGCGGGGTCGGTTGGGTTGTGTTGTTGAGTTTGAGTACATTTCTATAAAACGCGCATCTCTAGGAGCCAGGGAGCCAAGATAATTCGGTGCATAACCGTAACTTTATCTACAGAGGCGCCTCTGTACATATACACTTCGATTTTAATCATACATTTTAATTTTCGATATTTTTAAATCGATATTTTAATTTTCGAAATTTTAATTATTCGACATTTTCAAATCGACATTTTAATTTTCGATATTATCATTTTCGACATTTTAATTTTCGATATTATCATTTTCGACATTTTAATTTTCGAAATTTTAATTATTCGACATTTTCAAATCGACATTTTAATTTTCGATATTATCATTTTCGACATTTTAATTTTCGATATTTTGATTTTCGACATTTTGTATTTTCGATATTTTGATTTTCGATAAAAAGTGTTCGATATTTTGAATTCGATATAATGAATTTCGATATTGTGAACGTCACCCCACAGGGACAGATCGGGAATAGCCTATATGTCAAAATTTTAACTTGCCAACTAAAAAATGTTCAATATTTTGGAAAAGTTATTATAATAGTTATTTATGTATCAAGGCAGTAAAGTCGTATTTTTTATCCCGAATGTGGAAATTATTTGCAGAGGCGAAAGCAAAGGCAAATAACCACGTGAGTAATAAAAAATGACTTAAATGCCGAGGTGCATATTAAATTTTATCCGAAATCAAATTTAATAATAATAATAATTAATATTGATGATCAAATCAAATGTTATTTGAATGTAGTGTATACATATACTGTTTGTTGCGACGGTTATGATATATTTGCCCACCGCGGCGATTTTTTAATCTAATTAATAAAATTTACTAAAATATTTTTATTTAACAACATTTTATGAAAGGGTCCAATCGACCTCCGCGACGGTGCTTTTTTTAAAATATTATTTAGTTGCTGCTTAGTAGCAGTAGACACATCTTAAAATGTATAATGGGTTGCATACAATACTCGTATTAAATCTACTACTGTTGACTACTTTACTGCCGATTTCGGATAAATATCTTTATCTTCAATTGGTCTATAATATAAAGGTTATTGTTGTTCAGGCACTTAAAATGATTTAGATCAATTGGGTAAAGGTTTTTTAAAGCTTAGGGAGTAAAATTTCTTTATTTAAAAATTTGATTTCTGTTTAATCTATAGATCAAAAGTATACCTAACCAAACAATAATATCATATTTTTTACCAACTCACTGAAATAAAAAAAATTATAATTTTAATAATAATAATAATAATTATTATTATGATATTTAAGTAAATAAAACAGCATACCCTATCTAAAAAATATCCCAATAATTTTGTAATAGAATAATATGTCGTATCAAGTTATATAAACGCCATTTTAGTTATTGGGCGATTATTACTAGCGAGTGTTTAATAACAACAAGTGTCTAGAGATGTTTATAAAACGATACTATACTTTATCTAAGACGAACAAAAAAAGTATTTATAGTACATTTTAATTGTTATATATATGACATCTGACTAACTTAACCTCACTTTTTCGAAATTTATAGTAAAGCTAAGCTAAACAAGAAATTTGTGGAAAATTAGCATAAACTACATTTTTATAAAAAGCAGTAGGTATTTAATGGATTTTTTTAACTTATCAGCTATTTGACTGCATTTCTGTGTTGAATTCGGTTACAAAATGTCCATAGCTTTACCATAGCACAAGAAAACGCATTTTGCATTTTTTTGCAGTTACTGCCTTTCTCCATAGTAGGGCAGAGTAGATAATAGCATATTCTGTATCAAGTTTGAAATAAGGCATATTCCGCTCAAGTGAAAAGTTTCACAAGAGCGGAATATGCAATTCCAAATGTGTTTCAGACTATACTTCTTCTACGTTTCTAAAATATATCATAAAGAAATAATTTAATTGATAGTAAGTGAGGTTGGATCGGTCTAAAAGTTGTTAGATAATAAACACAGAGATGGCGCACCAGTGTTTGGAATATTATCCGATGATTGAAAAAATTAATTTTGTAACTCTTTAAGAAATATATGTAATTCCTAGGGATGTAAACAAATTTTTATGACAATGTCATGTCACAGTCATAATGAAAATGACGTTCATGTCATTTATTTTTATGACACCCTTGTCATTTTTTCAATTAAATTTTCTGACTGTCAAAAAAATAACTGACCGTCATTAAAATATATGACAGTCACAAAAATATATGACGGTAACAAAAATATATGACGGTCACAAAAATATCAGCTTACGATCCAACGACGCGAACACAAAAAAACTCCCAAGCCGGGAGGTGGAAGCTGCACTAGTGCAGTCATTTAAAAATAAATTTATTTGAAAAAAAAAACAAAATTTAAACAAAATCTAAAATTTAATAAAAGTCCTAGTAGAATATAAAAATATCTATCTGGTTTATAACCAGTTATAACTAAATTTTTGTCAGATTTATAGTCATCGACATCAAATTCATCTAATGACAGAAAGCTTTCTGTCATTAGATGAATTTGATGTCGATGACTATAAATCTGACAAAAATTTAGTTATAACTGGTTATAAACCAGATAGATATTTTTATATTCTACTAGGACTTTTATTAAATTTTAGATTTTGTTTAAATTTTGTTTTTTTTTCAAATAAATTTATGTTTAAATGACAATAAATGACATGTCACGTGTCACATAAATAAATGACCGTTATTTTACATCCCTAGTAATTCAACATTAAAAAGTATAGAACGATTATATTCCGTAATAGAAGTACCTACACAAATATAATTTAACCAATATGAATTTTCTTTACAATGTCAATATACCAGCATGACAGCTTAACAGCTGCTAGGCAGATCATCTGTCACAGATGACGAAGATTTTTACGAAGACATTTTGTTACAGTTTCGTTACTAGTTTTATTATCCTGTGTTTATGTAATAATTGAGCTCCTGCAATTTTTGTTACGAATAGTTTCGATAGCAATTTCTGCTGAAACTTTTACCAATATTGTGTTACTCGTTTTTTAAAGTTTCGTTATAATTTTTTGGAGCGCATGTTTTGATACAGTTTTATTTTGATCCTTACATGAAGAATGATACCGTAACAGAAACGCGTTACAAGTCCCAGGTTCTAGCTCACGAACTGCCACAGTAAAGAAGTCAATTTTTTTGTTATAATCGACTCATAGAGTGCCTTACTGCAAATCAAACAAGTATACCCAAAACATCCAATTCTACAAACCATAAAGGAAGAAATGCATAATAATCAGGACAATAAAATTTCTTTGGGTTCTCTTTTATTTTGGCAGCTGCAACAGCAAAGGAAAATAAAATACCATCAATAGAAAAAAATCCTCACAAAGACTGTCACCCCTAATAAAAATTATGTTCCCAAATAAAAAATTGCAAGAACTTTATTATTGGTCAACCAAAAACAATAAATTAGAAGAAGTAAAAACACAAATTGAACCCCCGTATAATTTAAAGACAGGCTTAAGCCCACACTGGAATGTAGACTGCTTATATTTCGTT